CTTGCCTCGAACACGGAGATGGACGAGGCGAAGAGAGGCAACGGACGGTGTGCGGCCGGCTGAAGCCGCCTGAAAACAGATGGGAAAGGAGCCAGAGGGGGCTCGGCGTGGTCTTAAACCCCCCTGACGTGTGAGCCTCTCGCCCGTCAGACACACTCTCCTCTTAATGCGAAGTTCACGTGAAACTCAACCATGTAGCTCTAAGAAAATAACTCTCTGCATCTCGCCTGCCTTGCCAGCACCAGCACACGGAGCTGTGGGAGTGGGTCCAGAGGAGGCCACAAAAATGATCCGAGGGCTGGAGAACCTCTCCTACAAGGGGAGAGTTGGGGCTGTTCAGCCTGGAGAAGAGAAGGCTGCGGGGAGACCTGATTGTGGCCTTCAGTACCTGAAGGGGGCTGTAGGAAAGATGGGGAAAATATTTTCATCAGGGCTTGTTGTGACAGGACAAGGAGCAATGGCTTTAAACTACGGTAGGGTAGATTTAGACTGGGTATAAGGAAGACATTTTTTACAGTGAGGGTGGTGAAACACTGGCACAGGTTGCCCAGAGAGGTGGTGGAGGCCCCATCCCTGGAAATATTCAAGACCAGGTTGGACGGGGCTGAGCAACCTGGTCCAGTTGAAGATGTCCCTGCTCACTGCAGGGGAGCTGGGCTAGATGACCTCTAAAGGTCCCTTCCAACCCAAAGCACTCTGTGATTCTATGATTTATCAATCAGCCAAAACTAGCATATTAGAGTATGTATACCCATCCTGCGCCTTTTCGTTGCAAACACGCATTTTCTTGTACACCCCAGCGAACTGGCTGCACTGACATTGCAAATCTAACAGCGCAGCGCATGCAACACTCTGCAGGAGCTCTGCTTTGTTTAATGCATGCTGTGAACAATGGTGTTTAAAAAAAATACAGTAAGGAGTAAGCGGCTAAATGATAAAGAACTGTCTTTGTTTCTTGCGTATTAAAGCCTCACCCTCGTGTTGTTCCAGAACGTCTCATCCCCCCCCATTTTCTGCAATTGTCGCTGTACTAGTCAAAGGCATTGAGCTACTACGCATTGTTTTGGAAGAATATTCTCTTTTCATGTGTGTAAGCCCAAAACACGTGTATGATTCACGCTATGCACTGCCTGAATCACTGCAGACAAAGCCAAACACCTCCAGGGGCTGTGTCTGCTCCAGAGTTGCTTTTCTGCTGCATGGAAGCCAGCAACAGCACGAGCCCAGGACAACGTAACGAGGGCCACATGGCAACAGCACGTGCACAGAACAAAGGGACAAAGTAATGAGGGCCACACGGCTACACAGCTCTCTTCCGCACTTGAGGCTTGGAATGGCTCTGCCTGTCCAGCAGCAGGTTGCAGGAGGGAAGGAAAGGGCAGAACAAGCTGTTACCGGGCTGCAGCCATCTCCAGGGACAGAGGTGGGAAAGATTTACCACGTTTTGTCTAGTTCAGTCCCTCACCTTCAACAAGGAGCCCCTAAAGGAGAAATTCTCGTGCGCCAATGAGTACATTCTGCGAAGGAAGAACTCACATTTTTAATGGTTTGTTTCAGAGTTACCACATACTGCCACATGAGTGGATGTGGCACCCCCTTCCATCTTCATGGAGCTTCAGCCTCCCAAAAAAAAGAAAGAAAAAGCATTTTTCTAGAACCACACAAGTGTCAGAGAAATCCCCACAAACGTTCATGTTTGAGCCTTGCCACAGTTCGGACAGGGGAGAACGATCTCGCAGCCC